AAAATATCATTCCAAAATGAGCATGAATATATAACAGACATTTACAAACACACGAAACCTGAGGAAGTGCATTTCCAAGAGACCTGCAGTAAAGGAAAGGCTAACAGAGAACTTCGTGCTGAAAGGAAATGACACCAGCTGAAAACTCAGGTCTACAGGATGGAAAGAGGAGCTTCAGAGATGGTAAATATGCAAGTGCAAAAAATTATCTTTCTTCTCTTAGTTTCTTGAAAAGATAACTGATTTTTTTTTAAATTACCAACAGTATGTTGTGGGGTTTTTAATATATACGGATGCAACTACATGACAATAGCACAAAGGATGAGTTCATAAATGAAACTAAAGTTTTTCAAAGTTCTAATGACTTATGTGAGGTAGCAAAATATTTAATCTAAGTTCATTGTGGTGACTTCAGGATGCACACTATAGTCATGAAAACCATAATGCAAAGAGACTCATCTAAAAAGTCGACAGAGGAATTAGCATTCACAGAGGAATTAGAATGGAATGCTAAGAAGTACTTATTAACCCAGAAGAATGTAGGAAAGAAGGAATAAAGCTATAGGGAACACATTTGACAGACAAACTTTAGAGGCATTCCCATAAGATTGGAGATGTGTAGTGGGAATCCCTAATAACGTACTTTCACAGCCTTGAGAAATTCCACAGAAAGAGAATGTGGAAAAACAGCATATATTAAGAAACTGTGTTAATGATTAACTTTCAAACCCCAAAGCCAGACTCAGAAGGGAGTATGACTGAGATCATGAAAACATGGATCTTGGAACACCGGGTCAGCGACAGGCGTGAACACTGCCTACACACTTGCTAATTGTTCCCGAAACTAGACCAGAAGAGAATGGCCTGGGGTATAAACAAGGAGATCTGGACCACGTCAGTGTTGTCCATGACATTTAGGAGTACGTGATTGACACAGCATGTGTCTTGAGAAAGATAAGATCTGAGAAAGGTTTGTAGTCTGCAATTAGGTATAAAAGATGGACTCAGAGTGGACTCTGCATGCCAGTCCAATAGAGGCTGCGGGTCCCCTGACCCATTGCACCAGATTTCATGTTTTGTGTTCATTCTCGTCACTCGCTCCTAGACAATTAGGGATGAAGCAAGTATGCCTGTCCCTTCTGTCATGCTATTTTGCAGTGCTTTTCACACATGTGACGTGACTATTTGTGGACTGTGAAATCAAATCAGAGAGTTACCTTTTTTAATAAATAAAGAATAAAAAACTTTTATAAGGTTTAATAATAAAGGTTTTTAAATAAAAAACCTTTAATAAAAAACCTTTTTTATTTGAAAGTCTATTTTATCTGATATGAGTATTGCGACTCCTGCTTTCTTTTGTTCTCCGTTTGCGTGAAATATTTTTTTCCAGCCCTTCACTTTTAGTCTGTATGTGTCTTTGTTTTGAGATGGGTCTCATGTAGACAGCATATTTTTTAATAAATAAAGAAAATGAAAAAAATCTATGCATTGTATATAACAAGACTAAATATTTTCATGAAACTTTTGTTTCAGTTATGTAAATAAATATACATAATATATGTTATATGTAAATAATGTTGGGGTTCCGTGGAGACTCAGACAGTAAAGAAACTAGCTGCAATGCAGGAGACCTCGGTTCAATCCCTGGGTGGGGAAGATCCCCCTGGAGAAGGAAATGGCAACCCACTCCAGTATTATTGCCTGGAGAATTCCATGGACAGAGAAGCCTGGCAGGCTACAGCCAACAGGGTTACAAAGAATTGGACACAACTGAGCAACTAACACTTTCACTATTCTTTCATAAATAATGTATATATGTGAATTAAATAATAATATAAAACACTTTTTTACAAGGACTGTGGTTGAAACAGTTTGAAAGATGGTCATTTAACAGATTAGTAGAGGTCCTGGCCAATGGTACAGTGACAAGAAAAAAGAAACAGGGCTGTTACAATTGAAAGAAAAGATGTGAAATAGGTATTATTTGCTGATGATATGATCATTTCCAAGGAAAAGCCAACACAATCAGCAAACTGTTAGAACTAACAAGAAAACCAGCACAATTTCTATGCAAGACCAATTTACCAAAAGTGGTCGCGTTCTTCCATGTCAGCAAAAGCCTGCTAGAAACTGCAATAGAAAGGACAGCACAAGCCACAGAAGTACAAGGAATAACCTGGGAAAGAATGTCCCAGACCTTCGAAGAAAAAAAATCACATTCCATTCAAGGGCATAAAAGAAATCTGAATGGCTAGAAAGATACACTAGTCAAGAAAGGGATGGCTTATTAAAGTATCATTTGTCTCCCAGACTAAGAGATACAGTGTATGCCAAATCAAAATCCCAGCTGAGTTGGTTGGTTGGTTGGTTGGCGAGATCCATTTACAGCTTAGACCATTTTGAAAAATAAAGCAAAGGATGAAGGGTTTGAGGGAGACTCTCCCCCTCAGTGTTAACACATACCCCTAAACATAACTGAAAAGGATGGTCTCATGCACACATTAGCAGACCTAAGGACCAGTAGAGCACTCAGGAACAGCCTGGTCGTTCCTAGGAACTTAGACCACGGGGAGCATGGGGTACTGTCAGGCAGCAGGAAAGCTGAGGTGAGCGGGGAAACTGGCTTCTTTCACGGAGAAATTCAACCTGCATTTCCACTCCACAGCACTTGCCAGGCGAGTGGGTGGTGGAGGGAGCCTGCTGGAGTCCAACACTTACATCAGACAGGCCAACTCTAAAGCTGAAAGGAAAAGGGCTGGCTGAGGCTGACAAAGAGTGGTGACAGCATCTCCCCGGCACTGTGTGCGTCCACCCAGAGCTCCAGAATGTGAACTCGTCTGGACATGGGGTCTCTGCAAATGTCATTTGCCTAAGGACCTTGAGATTAGGTCACTCTAGATTTCAGAAGCATGTTACGTCCAATGACTTAACACAGGAGGGGCTGACAAACAGGGCAGATGACCATGTGAAGATGGAGGCAAAGACGAAGCCACCAGGCGCTGGGAGAGGCAGGAGGGCTCCTCCCCTGGCGCCTTCTGCAGAGTTCAGCCCTGCTGACCCCTTGGTTTCGGACTTCAGGCTCCCAGAATGTGAGGGTCCATTTCTTTGGTTTTAAGCCATCAACTGTGTGGCCTTTGTTATGGCAGGCCCAGGAAGCTCACACAGCAGCCCCACATGTACAAGCTGGAAGGTAAATAACTGATGAATTTGCCATGTGGAAATCAAGAATTTCTGTTCAATGAAAAGGATTCAATAAGCAGCATTAACAGCCAAGGGATTAACCAGGAGAAGCTCATCACAAGTTGAAAACTCGCAAGGGGGATCTTTGCTGCAAGTACACCAGTTAAGACTCCATGCTCCCAATTCAGGGGGCCTGGGTTCGACCCCTGGTCGGAGAACTAGCTTCCACATGCCACAGCTAAAGATCTCATGTGCCACAACTAAGACCCAGCACAGTCAAATAAACATATATATTGGCTGGGCACCAAGGCCTCTGCCCTGAGTGCCCACAGTGGGGGAGAATGAGCAAAGGGATGCTGGGGTGGGCCCGGACGGCCAGGCCAAGCCCCAGCCCCACACACTCACACAGTGCAGGCTGCAGGGCCTGACACCACCTGGCAGGAGGCTCCCCCGTGGGGCTCTGCCCTCCCTGTGGTTTCTCTAAGAACCTTGCGTCCTTCCAGGGAACTCGGTGTTCTCCCGTCCACCTCCCATGCACCATCTGTCCCTGGGGCCAAGCGGGGAGGGGTGGCACAGACCAGGACAATCTGTCCTGGGAGTCTCGGGGCCCCAGTTCTGCCCACTGGATCCACCCCAGGCATCTAGCTGCCCCTCTGGGGTCTTCTGCCCTCCAAGGGGACCAGGCCTGACAAGGCTTCTGACATGTGGACCATCAGCCCAGGGTGTCCTGGGTCCAGGGGACAACGTCCTGCAGCCCAGGTCCACGACATGGAGGCAAGATCAACACTCAGCCATCATCAGCTGAACACACATCAGTGAGCATCTGTGGGGGACCAGCAGCCCCACAGGTCAAAGGTCACTGCTGTCCTCACACCCTGGGTGGACAATGGCATCCCAGGTGGCACGGTCCAGCCCAGGCTCTGGGGAAGCTCGTGTCCAGCCTTCCCCAGGCCCTCACTGATCTGATGGGAGCCTGGCTACAGGACAGGGATCGGGCAGCAGGCACACAGACAGAGGATGAGCCTGCTGGCGGGCAGGCTATAACTCCCCTACCTACACCCAGCTGAACTCATGGTCCTGCACACGGAGCCAGGGCCACCCCAGTGGGCCAGACCCCAGCCTGCTTCTCCTGGCAGTATGCCCTCGAGTAGCCCCAGGATCCACTGCAGGCTCTGGGGCCACAAGGCCTCTACCTCTCACACACAAAGCAGCCAGGACCTCCCCTCGCAGGGAAGCCTCGGGGACAATGGGGGTCGTGCCTGCTGCCCTGATCCTTCCCAGCCATCGCACGACCACAGTGCATGCCAAGGGCTCACCAAGGCAGCCCATGGCATGGAGGAGAGAGGCCACAAGCAGCAGCACAGGCTGGGGGGTGAGGACACAGAGAGGAGCCTGACCTGAGACCCACCGTCACTCAGTTGACTTTCCAAGAACAGAGAGAGAAGGGAAGTTCCAGGGCTGCTGAGGCCTCCGGGGGTTCCCACCCCATTTTTAGCTGAGAGCACTGAGGCAGAGCTCCCCCAATCCACGCCCAGGCCCTACCGTCTGGATGTAAAAATAACAGCAATGGGTATTAACATTTCACCTCACCCAGGAGCCTATCCAGGGATCCTGCAGATGGCCACCACCAGCCAGACGGGCCACATCAGCCATGGACACATGACAGAGGGCCCAGCACCTTGGGCGCCCCAGCTCCTAGAGCCACCCAGACTCTGCTGGGAGAAGATACCTGAACTGCCTGCCGTGGGAACACAGCCTCTGGATCACCGCTTGTCTCTCCGCTGTCCACTCCCCTCATGGGGACGCAGGGAAGGGAGAAAATGCTCGAAGTCGACCTGAAGGAGACAAGGGGCCAAGATTCTCAGACAGGTCAGGGCCAGGGCAGCACCACACACAGGGCATGGAAGCAGGCTGGGCATGGATCTGCCCACAGCCAGCCAGGACAGTGGTGGCCAGCCCAGGGTCAGGGGAGAAAGCTGCAGGGGTCAGTCCACATGCTGGCCAACACGGCAGGAGCACTGCACCCACATTGTCTGGCCTGAGCCACCCTGACTCAGGCAGGCCAGGCAAGACTCCTCTGGGCCAAGTGTGGCTTAGTGAATGGAGCTATGAGGAGGGAGACGAACCATCCCAGTCTCAGCTGGGCCTCACTGGCCATACGGGCTGTCCTCAGCCACATGGGACTGTGCACTGAGCTGAAGTGAGCTGGGATGTTGGAGTCAAGGTGATTCTGGGTTGAGCTGGGTGGACTGAGCCAGGTGGCTCGGAGAGATGCCGTGCTCAGGGGGCCAGGGTAGCTATCTTGGCTGTCCTAGACCAGGCTGGTCCAGCTGAGCAGAGCTCAGGAGTCAGCCAGCCTGGGTTGGCTGAACTGGGCTGTGCTAACCTGAACTGGCTGGACCTAGACTTGACTGGACTCGGCTGGACTGAGTTGGGCTGAGTCAGAAGAAACTGGGCTCGGCTGAGTCAGAAGAAACTGGGCTCAGCTGAGTAGAGCCAAACCAGAATGGATAGGTGGGATAAAATGGGCAACCCAAGCATAACCGGGCTGAATGGGCTGGACTGGGCTAGAATCTCCTCTAGTGAGCTTGCCGACCCTGCAGGGGTGGGGCTGAGTGGGGATTGGCTGAGTTGAGCTGGGTCAAACTGGGCTGAGCTAGGTTAAGCTGCACTGTGCTGGGCTGAACAGGGCTGAGCTGCGCTGAGCAGGGTTTAGCTGGGCTGAACTGGGCTGAGCTGGGCTGAAAAGGGTTGAGTTGGGCTGAACTAGGCTAAGCTGAGTTGAATAGGGTTGATCTGGGCTTAACTGGGCTGAACCAGGTTGAAGCTGGCTGTACTGGGTTGAGCTTGGTTGAACTGGCTTGAACAGGGCTAAACTAGACTGAGTGGGGCTGAGCTGAGCTGAACAGGGCTGAGCTGGGCTGAACAGGGCTGAACTTGGCTGAGCTGAGCTGAACAGGGCTGGGCTGAGCTGAGCTAAACTGGGCTGAGTTGGGCTGAACTGGGTTGAGCTGAGCTGAATAGAGCTGAACTGGGATGAACAGGGCTGAATAAGGCTGAGGAAGGCTGAACTAGTCTGAGCCAAGCTGAACAGACTGAACTGGCATGAGCTGGCCTGAGCTCACTGGTCTGAACTGACTGAACTGGACTGAATTGTGCTGAACTGGACTGAATTGTGCTGAACTGGGCTTGGTTGAGTTGAGCTGGGCTGACCTGAGCTGAGCTGAGCTGGGCTGAACTGAGCTTAGCTGGGTTGAGCTGGGTTGAGCTGGGTTGAGCTGGGCTGAACTTGGCTAAGCTGGGCTGAGCTGAACTGAACTGGGCTAAGTTGGGCTTATCTGGGCTGAACTGGGCTGAATAGGGCTGAGTTGGGCTGAACTGTGTTGATTTGGGCTTAGCTAGGCTGAACTAGACTGAGTTGGGCTTATCTGAGCTGAACTGAGCTGAACAGGGCTGAACTGGGCTGAGCTGGGCTGAACAGGGCTGAGCTGGGCTGAACAGGGCTGAACTTGGCTGAGCTGGGCTGAACAGGGCTGGGCTGAGCTGAGCTAAACTGGGCTGAGTTGGGCTGAACTGGGTTGAGCTGAGCTGAATAGAGCTGAACTGGGATGAACAGGGCTGAATAAGGCTGAGGAAGGCTGAACTAGTCTGAGCCAAGCTGAACAGACTGAACTGGCATGAGCTGGCCTGAGCTCACTGGTCTGAACTGACTGAACTGGGCTGAATTGTGCTGAACTGGGCTTGGTTGAGTTGAGCTGGGCTGACCTGAGCTGAGCTGAGCTGGGCTGAACTGAGCTTAGCTGGGTTGAGCTGGGTTGAGCTGGGCTGAACTTGGCTAAGCTGGGCTGAGCTGAACTGAACTGGGCTAAGTTGGGCTTATCTGGGCTGAACTGGGCTGAATAGGGCTGAGTTGGGCTGAACTGTGTTGATTTGGGCTTAGCTAGGCTGAACTAGACTGAGTTGGGCTTATCTGAGCTGAACTGAGCTGAACAGGGCTGAACTGGGCTGAGCTGGGCTGAACTGGGCTGAGCTGGGGTGAACATGGCTGAGCTGGGCTTGGTTGAGTTGAGTTGAGCTGAGCTGAGCTGGGCTGAACAGTGTCAAGCTGGGCTGAAATGGCCTGAACAGGGCTGAACTGGACTGAGTTGAGCTGAGCTGGGCTGAACTTGGCTGAGCTGGGCTGAATTGGGCTGAGCTGAGCTGAACTGGGCTGAACAGGAATCAGTGGGGCTTACCTGGGCTGAAATGGGTTGAGCTGGGCAGAACTGAACTGAGTTGAGCTGGGCTGAACTGGGATGAACAGGGCTGAAATGGGCTGAGCTGGGCTGAACAGGGCTGAGCTGGGCTGAGCTGACTGAACTGGGCTGAGCCTGAGGGGGCTGCGGAGGGGGGGGGGGGTGCTGAGGAGGGCCCTAAGGGGTCTTCATCCTCTCCTGATGGGGCTGCAGTTGGACTTCCCTGGGGGCCACAGGCAGAGCACCAGGGGGCCTGGGCTGTTAAGGGGACGAATGGGGCGAAGGGGCAGCCATGCTGGAACAGCTCAGGGACCTGAAGGGCTAACTCACCGGCCGCAGGGGGCAGGGCCCAGCGGGCAGCAGGTTGATCCACCCACAGGATGCCCACAAGGACTGGGGTGATTCCTGGGAAGTGGGGGGCCTCTGGATCCCCAGGGGGGTCTGAGTTAGGGTTGGGAGTGGGGAAGCAGCCTGGTGATCCCTGGGGGTCTCTGACTCAGACCAGGGCTAAGGGTGGGCAGAGGGGACAGACTCATGGTTCCTGGGGTTCTCAGAGTCCCTGATCTCCAACAGGGGTCTGAGTGGGGCAGAAGAAGAGCCTGGTACCTCCTGGAGGTCTCTCCAGTCCCCAGACACTGACAGGGGTTATGGGCTCTGAGCACCCATCTCCAGAAAGCAGGTTGGCACCTCCACTCAAGTGTCCTATGTCCAGGCACTCAGGCCAAGGGCAGTGACTGTCACTGCTCACTGGTGGGGTTCTGGTGGGGCCAGGAGGTGGAGCGCAGCTCCTCACTGGAGGGGTCAGGAGGTGGAGCACAGCTCCTCACTGGTGGGGTTCTGGTGGGGTCAGGAGGTGGAGCACAGCTCCTCACTGGTGGGGTTTTGGTGGGGTCAGGAGGTGGAGCGCAGCTCCTCACTGGAGGGGTCAGGAGGTGGAGCGCAGCTCCTCACTGGTGGGGTTCTGCTGGGGTCAGGAGGTGGAGCGCAGCTCCTCGCGGGAGGGGTCCCTGGTGGGGTCAGGAGGTGGAGCGCAGCTCCTCACTGGTGGGGTCCCTGGAGGGGTCAGGAGGTGGAGCGCAGCTCCTCGCGGGAGGGGTCCCTGGAGGGGTCAGGAGGTGGAGCGCAGCTCCTCACTGGAGGGGTCCCTGGAGGGGTCAGGAGGTGGAGCACAGCTCCTCACTGGAGGGGTCCCTGGAGGGGTCAGGAGGTGGAGCACAGCTCCTCGTGGGAGGGGTCAGGAGGTGGAGCACAGCTCCTCACTGGAGGGGTCCCTGGTGGGGTCAGGAGGTGGAGCACAGCTCCTCGTGGGAGGGGTCCCTGGTGGGGTCAGGAGGTGAGAAAAGGACCCAGAAGAAGCCATCTGTCCCTCAAGGCTGGAGCAGAGTCCCAGTGTTCCCTGAGCCAGACAACCCCAGGTGAGCAGTCAGCCTGGCACATATGGGTGACAGTCCTGAGACCAGCACTGACCCTGGTCCTGTCCCCACAGCCTCCACCCAGAAACCATTCGTCTACCAGTTGAGGTCCTGTTGCACAAAGGAAGACCCAGTGATACTGGGTTGCCTGGTCAAGGACTACTTCCCAGGGTCAGTGACCGTGACCTGGGACACAGTGCCCCTGGACGGGAGCACCCTGACCTTCCCTAGCATCCAAATGGCGAACTCCAGTCTCTACATCACCACCAGCCAGCTGACTGTCTCGGGTGAGCAGCCCAGGGAGTTCACCTGCAGTGTTTTCCACGCTGAGACCAACCACACCACCACCAAGACCGTCAGCACTGGTGAGCCAGGGCTGGGGTAGCCAGTGAGGTAGCCAGGGGTGGGGGGCGGGCCAGCCAGGCTGGAGGAACAGGAAGGAGAGGCTGGGGTCCCCGGGAGGCCAGCCCCACGCCTGCCACCTCTGCCCGCAGAGTGCATCAGGAACTTCAGCGACCCCTCGGTGAAGCTCTTCTACTCCTCCTGCAACCCCAGTGGCGACACCCACACCACCATCCAGCTCCTGTGCCGGATCTCTGGCTACACCCCAGGGAAAATCAAGGTCACCTGGCTGGTGGATGGGCACGAGTCCAAAGAACTCTATGCACAATCCGGCCCCGAGATACAGGAGGGCAACCTGACCTCCACCTACAGTGAAGTCAACATCACACAGGGCCAGTGGGTGTCCGAAAAAACCTACACCTGCCGGGTCAGCTATTACGGCTTCAACTTCGACAACCACGCGCGCAGGTGCACAGGTAAGGCCCTCACCGACGCCGACACTCAGACACCGGGGGCTCAGGGAGGAGGGCAGTCAACCTCACACAGGCCCCTCTCGCACACAGCCGAGTCCGAGCCCCGAGGCGTGAGCGCCTACCTGAGCCCGCCCACCCCCCTCGAGCTCTACATCAACAAGTCGCCCAAGATCACCTGCCTGGTTGTGGACCTAGCCAGTACGAAGAACTTGACCCTGACCTGGTCGAGGGCAAATGGGAAACCTGTGCACGAGGACCCCCCCGAGATCAAGAAGCAGTTCAACGGGACGTTCACCGTCACGTCCACCCTGCCGGTGGATGTCATTGACTGGGTTGAAGGCGAGACCTACTACTGCAAAGTGAGCCATGGCGACCTGCCCACGGATATCCAGCGATCCATCTCCAAGGATGTTGGTGAGCAGCAGGCTGAAGGGATGTGGGTGGGCCTCCTGGGAGAAGCCTGGCTGACCACATACCTGTCCACAGGCAAGCGTGTGGCCCCCAAGGTCTACGTGTTCTCGCCAGACAGAAAGGAGATGGAGAATGAGGAGGAGCTCACCCTCACCTGTCTGATCCAGAAATTCTTCCCCAAGGACATCTCTGTGCGGTGGCTGCATAACAAGAAACTTATGCGGGCAGACCAGCACACCACCACACAGCCCCACAGGGCCGACAACAACACCCCCACCTTCTTCGCCTACAGCCGCCTGGCGGTCCCCAGGGCCAACTGGAAGACAGATGATGAGTTCACCTGCCAAGTGATCCACGAGGCACTGCCCAAGACTAGGACCCTGGAGAAATCGGTGGTCATTAACAGCGGTAAATAATGCCCGCCCTCCAGCCCGCCCTCTCCAGGGGCAGGGGAGGGGCCAGTGGGACCTTCTGTCCACTTTCAATAAACACTGGTGCCTGCTCAGAGCCCCGGGCATGCCTGTTCTTGGGGCTCATGGGCTGTGGGTCGGGGTTGGGGGGATGTCCCGGCACAGAGGAAGGGAAGGCACAGCAGGCGGATAGGGCTGGAGCAGGGCTCTGTCCAGCATCACTGTCCATGTCGAGGCCTCCGCCTACCCCACTATGAATTTTGCTCACTCAGCAAATTCTAAGAGCCAGAGGGCGGTCCTAGCGGAAGGACCACAGAGACCCCAGGCTTTTCTAGGGGTCTTGGACCCCCAGAGTTGGGGGAGCCTCCGCCTGAGGCTCCTGCCAGCCCCTCTGGACACAGATAAGCCCCCAAGCTCCCAAGTTCAGCTGCTCATACACAGGCCCTCCAGATAGAGAAAAGGGTCAAATCAGACCTGCACACAGGCACCAGCATACGGGTCCCTCCACTGTTACCCCCAGGGCACAAACAGGCCAACCGCGCACGTGGGCTAGTGTGGGGTCTGCTCCTCTGACCCTCGCTCCTCTGGCCCCCACCTCTGAATTCCCCCTACCCGTGCGGTCCTGCTGGGCCGAGCTCAGCGCCCAGGGCCCCATCTTGCTGCTCAGCCTCACTCCACTCTGAATCGGTCTGGGACACACCCATCACTCCTAAGCACCCTCAGGCCACCATGTCCACTGGTGCCAAGGCTCCACACCCATCCACTGCCAGTCACAGGCAGCATCCCATACACTCACAAGAGGCCAGCCCTCTCACCTAGAACACACCCTCAACCTTCTTATCCAGGCCACACCCTCTCACCCAGGCCACACCCTCTCACCCAGGCCACACCCTCACACCCTCTCACCCAGGCCATACCCTCTCACCCAGGCCACACCCTCACACCTTCTCACCCAGGCCACATCCTCACACCTTATCCAGGCCACACCCTCACACCCAGGCCACACCCTCACACCCTCTCACCCAGGCCACACCCTCTCACCCAGGCCACACCCTCACACCTTCTCACCCAGGCCACATCCTCACACCTTATCCAGGCCGCATCCTCACACCCAGGCCACACACTCACACCCTCTCACCCAGGCCACACCCTCACACCCTCTTACTCAGACCACACCCTCTCACCCTCTCACCCAGGCCACACCCTCTCACCCTCTCACCCAGGCCACACCCTCTCACCCTCTCATCCAGGCCACACCCTCACACCCAGGCCACACCCTCACACCCTCTCACCCAGGCCACACCCTCTCACCCTCTCACCCAGGCCACACCCTCTCACCCTCTCACCCAGGCCACACCCTCTCACCCTCTCATCCAGGCCACACCCTCTCACCCAGGCCACACCCTCACACCTTCTCACCCAGGCCACACCCTCACACCCTCTCACCCAGGCCACACCCTCTCACCCTCTCATCCAGGCCACACCCTCACACCCAGGCCACACCCTCACACCCTCTCACCCAGGCCACACCCTCACACCTTCTCACCCAGGCCACACCCTCACACCCTCTCACCCAGGCCACACCCTCTCACCCTCTCACCCAGGCCACACCCTCTCACCCTCTCATCCAGGCCACACCCTCACACCCAGGCCACACCCTCACACCCTCACACCCAGGCCACACCCTCACACCCTCTCACCCAGGCCACACCCTCTCACCCTCTCATCCAGGCCACACCCTCACACCCAGGCCACACCTTCACACCCTCTCACCCAGGCCACACCCTCTCACCCAGGCCACACCCTCACACCCTCTCACCCAGGCCACATCCTCACACCTTATCCAGGCCACACCCTCACACCCAGGCCACACCCTCACACCCTCTCACCCAGGCCACATCCTCACACCTTATCCAGGCCACACCCTCACACCCAGGCCACACCCTCTCACCCTCTCACCCAGGCCACACCCTCACACCCTCACACCCAGGCCACACCCTCTCACCCTCTCACCCAGGCCACACCCTCTCACCCTCTCACCCAGGCCACACCCTCACACCCTCTCATCCAGGCCACACCCTCTCACCCTCTCACCCAGGCCACACCCTCTCACCCTCTCATCCAGGCCACACCCTCACACCCAGGCCACACCCTCTCACCCTCTCACCCAGGCCACACCCTCACACCCTCTCATCCAGGCCACACCCTCTCACCCTCTCACCCAGGCCACACCCTCACACCCTCTCACCCAGGCCACACCCTCTCACCCAGGCCACACCCTCACACCCTCTCACCCAGGCCACATCCTCACACCTTATCCAGGCCACACCCTCACACCCAGGTCACACCCTCACACCCTCTCACCCAGGCCACTCCCTCACACCCTCTCATCCAGTCACACCCTTTACCAAGACCACACCCTCACACTCTATCACCCAGGTCACACCCTTACACCCTGGACCCTGGACCCTCCCTTGCCCCAGGGAGGCAAGGGATTTCCTGCTGTGGCCCCAGTCTCCCCAGGCCAACCCCTCTCTGTCAGTTGCACCCCACAGATGAATAGTTGGATGCACAGACACATGGCAACACACAGGGATACATACACTGACACACATGGAGTCACATGGACACACATGGACCCACACAGACACGTGGGCAGACACAGATGGACACACACCTGAGTGCACACAGACATGAACACAATCACACAGACATGCATGTGGATGCACATGTGGACAGCACAAGGGCACCATACACATACAGAAAGCACCACATGCACAACCCACACCCTGAAAAGAGCCCAGAGTGGAGGCTGTGCTGGGAGAGGAGAGGCCCAGCCCCAGGACAGGAGGAGCAGGGGGCTGGGGGCAGCTCTGGATTCCCACAGGTTGGGCAAGGTCCACATGCTCGGGCACAGCCCTTGGGCATCCCTTGTGATGATCTGTTGACTCCAGGGGCCGTCCCAGGTCCAGGCTTCTCCTGAGGGCTCCAGGCAGGGAGGCCAGCCCCGTGCTCTTCGAGGGGCCCCCAGGCTGATGAGAGTGAAGCTGAGCAAGAATGGGACCCAGGGGACTGGGCTAGGCAGCCACAGGCCGTGCAGTTGATGGAGGAGGGCACTCTCCAGGCCAGGGGACCGCCACCTGCCATGGAGCAGGGAGTAGGGGTGGGACAGAGGGTGATCAGCAGTCAGGAGAAAAGCTGTGTGAAATGGTGGGAGAGGGAGCACCAGCTACCTGGGAGTAAAGGGATGCACGACAGAGGGTTGGGGGCCGGAGTCCCCCACACAGCTGCCTGCCGGCTCAGGGGCCTCCCACCCCCGTGGCCAGGGCTGACTGGAGGGGCCAGAAGGGGGGCCACCCAGGACCAGGGCACCAGGCCCAGCTCCTCCCACTCCCTAAGGGTGGCCAGGCCTGTCCCCTCCACCTTGACCCCAGGCCAGGGGCTGACCACCCGGTGCCCACAGGGCTGGCCCTCGAGGACCTGTGTGTGGAGGAGGCCGAGAGCGAGGAGCTGGAGGAGGCCTGGGCCAGCCTCCTTGTCTTCATCGCGCTCTTCTTGCTCAGCGTGAGCTATGGCGCCGCCGTCAGCCTCTGCAAGGTGGGCACGGACGCCCCGCTTTCAGGTGGGGCGCCCAGACAAGGGGGGCCCCGGCTTGGCCCAGACCCCGCCTCACATGTGCCCTCCGCCAGGTGAAGTGGGTCCTGACCGTCATCCTCCAGGGCCAGCCCCAGGCCTCCCGAGACTACACCAGCGCCGCTCAGCGCCCGCTGCCTCCTGGTGTCTGAGCTTCCCTGCCGCTGCCGAGCTGCGCTGGGACGGAGGAAGGAGCAGACATCCACTGAGGGGCTCAACGACCAGCACACGGGCACCCACAGTCCAGCTTAGCCTCGAGGTCAGAGGCAACAAGGCGGCCCACCATTCACAGCCCCCACACCCACCCCACTGGAGGGCAAGTCCCAGGGGAGTATCTGTCCCTTCCAGAGACCTGGGCAGGCTGCGGACACTGACCACCCTAGGCTCCTCCCAGGCCCCTGGGGTGGGGGCCACACCCTGACTAACAGAACAGCCCCCAAAACACAAGGAGGGCGTTGAGCTCACAGTCCACCCCAAGCTCAGAGTCCAGAGCCCTCCTAAGACATCAAGAGCCCCAGTCCAGCCCAACCAAGCCAAGAGCTCCCTCCCCAGCCTCAGTCCCGCCTCCTTGCCCCAGGTCCAAAGGCCCTGCCCCCCAACCCTTGCCCCGTCCCTATGTCCACCCTCCCTGCAGTCCAACCCCAGGCCCTGGGCCTACAGAATAAGGGGGCAGAGAACAGCTGTGGGAGTTTCAGGGCTGCAGGCAGGGGCTCCAGAGTGGGAAGCAGGTCCCACAGCACAGGGGGATTACCACAGGGCCTGCCCCGCAGCCGGCTCAACCCAGGCCCACCCCTAAACACCCCACTCAGCCCAGCAGCCCACCCCAACACCCCCCCCCCCCGCACTGTGGCCTTGTCTGACCTCTCTCTCCACAGGGCCTGCACTGCAGCCCACTCAGCCAAGCAGCCCACCCCAAAACCCCCCACTCAGCTCAGGCCTACCCCAAATGCCCCCCTGACTCAGCCCAGGCCCATCCCAACCCCCCAACTCAGCCCAGTGGCCCACCCCAACCACCCCCCACCCCACTGTGGCCTTGTCTGACCTCTCTCTCCTAACTTTCCCAAGTAAAGTTCATTAAAGTAAAAAATCCCATGAACATATTTTGGGGGAGGTACCTGTGGTCCCATGGAAGTGTGATGTACCTCCACCCAAGGAAGTGGACAAGGAGCAGAGGGAAGCAGGCCGAGGACAGCTCTGGGCCCTGAGCACCCAAGTGTCCAGCCAGACCTGATTCAAGCGTCCTTCGAGGCCTACAGAGACCCTGCCTCAGCCTCCACCACACCTGCTCCACTGGCCTCCAGCCCAGACTCACCGCCCTTCCCCACATGAAAGTCAAACAACAGTCCCACTCCCAGCAGGCAGGCCCTAAGGGGTCAGTCATGATCAGCGCTGACGGGAGACTCCATTCATGGTGAAGACCCTTCTGAGAGCCGCCATCCATGCTGGGAGACCGCATCCCATGGATGCCACCATGGACCAAGCAGCCTGCAGGGATCGAGGGCAGAACACCCAGGGTTGGGCAACTCTGAGGTTGTCCAGAGACACCGAGAGTCTGGTCCAAGTGGAACATGAGACCAGGAAAGAGCCTCGTACAAGTCCAAGGCCACAGCCCTGCCATGTTCCACCCTCACAGGTCAACACAACACACTTGCACAGACTCACGCAGTCTCAGGAAACCAGGCCCGAGAGCAGACCCCACCCGCAGGGCTCCCTCAAGCCAAGACAAGGTACCCTCCCTGTCCCCTCAGCTGGGACTCCTGAGGGCAGAGTGGGGTGTCTCCTCTCTCTGACTTGCACCCCAGACCATGAGACCCGCTGGGGACCCCAGAACGAGGGCCACAAGGGCTCAGCCCTGTGAGCTGGGCGTCATCACACACAGACCACACACATCTTCCCTGAGTCAGGAGGGAAAGGGGTGAGGTAGGAGAGAGAGGGCCCTGGGTTGAGCAGGTGGAGTTTGCCAAGTGCAGTGAGTGATTCCCTGACACTCCAAGGGCAAAACTAGTGGCAGGAGCTGAGCTCTGCTCAGGTAGAGACAAGAAGACCCCATCTATCACTCCTCAGGTCAGGGAAGCCTCCCCAACTGCACCTGTGCAGGAAGGCTCCTCAGAGGTCACAAAGGGAGGGTGCCACCCCATAATAAGTGTTGTCAAACTTCCACTTAACCTGTGCTAGAATCTTTCTCAGTAAAAAGATGCATATGCATATGAGGAGAGCCCGAGGACAGGTCAAGTGTAGGAAAAGAGGTGAGATAATGGGCCAGAGGAGAACAAAACCCAGAACTGTCCCATAGACATGAGTTAAGATACACATGAGTCAACATAGACATGAGTCAATGTAGACATGAGTCAACACACACATGAGTCTACATACACATGAGTCAACACACACATGAGTTAGCAACCTCTTCACTGCGCCCCTGCCCGTTGGGGAGGATGCCCACACCCTTTCTCTCCAGACTGGCATCTCTGCCTTGCTCTGTCTTGAATAAATAAACCTCTTCTCTGTGTGCTTTCCACATGTTGTGCTGTGTCTCTAATCATGAACTTCGCACCTGTATTTACAGTGTTTGCCTCCTTGGGACATTCGTGCTCTCAAATGAGGCCAGAGCCAGGCGACCCTTCCTTCTAGTCCCCAGCCCCTGGTGCTCTAGCAGCTAGGACTCTGGGGTTTCGCCCAGGCTATGCAGGCCCAATTCCAGGGCAGGGAACTGAGCTCCTGCTTCAGAACTGCTCCCTGCTGCCTCTCCAAGGACAGTGGCAGGCAACGCCTCTAGTGGGGCTGGGCAGTGAGTGCTCGGCCAAGAGCAGGACCGCAGAGAAGGACGAGAGGGATGGTTGTGCCAGCCAGCTGGGCTCTGAACCAGTGACCCTGCTGCACGCGCCCGCCCAGCAGCAAGATGCCATCTTCTCAGGGTCCCCTCTGTCCCTCCTCCCCTTCCTTCTCCGTTGACTCGCCACTGAAAGGTGCCCCCCATGAGTCATGTCCATGTCCTAAGCCCTGGAACCCATGAGTGTAACCTTATTCAGTCTTTGCAGATACGATTAAAGGATTTTAGGATGAGATTGTCCAGGTGGGCCCTAAATCTAATGACAAGAGTCCTTACAAGGGACAGAGGAGGGGAGACCAGACTCGGGGTGGGAGGTCATATGAGGACAGAGGCAGAGATCTGGGTGATACCTGGAATGCCTGGGCGGCTAGAAGCTGGAGGAGGTAGGAATGCAGGGGAGAGCACGGCCTTGCCCACACCTTGATCTCGGGCATCTGGCTCCAAGTGAAAGTCATTCATTCGTGTCCAACTCTTTATGACGCTGTGGACTATACAGTCCATGGAGTTCTCCAGGCCAGAATACTGGAGTGGGTATCCTTTCCCTTCTCCAGGGAATCTTCCCAACCCAGGGATCGAATCCAGGTCTCCCTCTAGCTCCAAAGCATGAGACTAAATTTCTGTTGTTTAGAGCCCCTCAGTGTGAGGTCTTTGTCGCGACCTGAGGAGCCTCATTGACAGCCAGCAGGCCTTGGCCATGCTGAGGCCCCTCCTGCTTCCAAAGAAGCCCAGGAGGACTCGTCCAGTCCCGGCTCTTTCCTCTCCAGCCTGGACCCGCACTCAACAAGTCCCTGACTCCCGAAGGTGCTCAGTGAATCTTACCAACAGTGCCCACTCGGGCTCAGACCCTTCCCCCAAACTCTGCGGCTCTCAGTCCTATAGACCCCACGTCCATCCGTCTCAAGTCCAAGTTCTTCTTTCTGCCCCAAGCTCCATGCCCATCTGTGACCTTGGTGGGGTAGTGTTGTCTGTATGGGGGCACAGGATGCTGGAGAGGGCAGCCCTCAAACCCCCCACCACCTTCCTCTGCTTCCTACATGCCCGCCAGACTACATGTGACCACGCCTCCTGAGTCCCGTTCCTCCAGCTCCCTCAGGGACAGCATCAGGGGACATGAAGGACACAGGGACCCCCAGAAGGCACAGAGCCCTAGGCACTCAAGGCCTGGCAAGAAGAAGGATCCTCAGAGCCAGCCGTCTGCAATGCAGACACCACTGGTACAGTGGGCATGGGGTGGACCAGAAGCCAGCTGGCAGCCTGAGAGGAATTGTTCCTTGTGGGTGGCACTATGGGTGTTCCAGGGTTCATGATAGACCCCAGAGGTCCTTAAATCAAGCCAGGGTGTATGTGCCCACCTGGTATACCACCCCAAGCTCCCTTTCCTCCATGCATCTCCCCCCTCCCACCCTACCAGCCCCACCCCTGCCCCAGGGAAAAGCCAGTCTCCCCCTGAGGCCCAGCATCTCCTCCTGCCAGCCGCCCTCCCCACAACGGTGTTCTTTGCAGGAGGGGACTGTTGGTCCCTGTGTTGCTCCAGAACCTTCTGTGTGTGAAGAAATGAATGAACAGGGACTCCCTGGTGATCCAGTGATTAAGAATCCACCTTGCAATGCAGGGGACGCCAGTTCAATCCCTAGTTCAGGAAGATCCCACCTGCCGCAGGGCAACTAAGCCCAAAAGCAACAGCTACCGGGCTCTAGAGCCCACAGGCTGCAACCACTGAGCTCGCAGGCCCAGAGCCTGTTCTCCACTTGAGAGAAGCCACCTAACGAGAGCCTGTGCACTGCAGTCACAGCCGCGCCTGCTGTGCGCAGCCAGAGAAGGCCCACAAATCGCAACCCAAGACCCAGCACAGCCAGAAGCAAAAATAAACAGATAAATTTTATACAAACACAGATGCAAACCAAGCCCCTCAGCCCGTTGTGTGCCCAGGCAGGGGCCACCTCCTGAGGGCCACCAGGGAGGTCAAGCACCTGGGCAGCTGGCAGGGCAGCTGGTGGGAGAATCCTGGGCAGGAAATAGTGCAGAGGCAGCACGGGCAGGAGATCAGCCACCCCCCCAACACAGGACTCCAGACTCCAGACAGGGGTGACCCCCACACCCTCGCTCCAGCTCCAGTCAAAGACCCCGCTGCTCCTGGAGGAAGAGGAAGGGTCGTGGCCAGGCTGGAGAGGCCCCACCCCCACAAGCAGCCCTGCACCCTGACGGTCTAGGAGGTCTGCTCACTGGGGTCACCCTGAAGTGCCTGTCCCTCGGGGCTCCAGCCTCTGCTGACCCATGCGGCCTCCTCCCCCTCCAGCCTTACTTCTTCTCCACT